CACACACACACACACACACACACACACACACACACACACACACACACACACACACACACACACACACGCACATTATGTGTGTGTGTGTGGTGGATATCTTTCTCCAATGGACTGTTTTCAAGTATCAGCCTCTTCATTTATTTTGTTTGGCGTTTGGATGCTTGGCAGCAAATGCAGACCTGTGGGTTGATATTAGTTGTGGATTTTGTTTTTCAGGCCTGCAGTTAAATGCCCATTTCCATCATCCTATCATGTCGATGCGGTGAGCAGAGAACTTGGTGTGCTTTCGCATCGATACTCCTGTCTTCTTCACTTTATGTCTTCTTCACTTTATTTTTCTTTGAGAAAACTAGGGTGCAGTCAAGGTTTTCAGTTGTAAACCTGTTCCAGTCACAATTTCGCGAATGTAGCTCCAAAGCTTGACTGCATTCGTGAATGTATCCAATCGAGCTTTAGGGTTCGGTGGGGATGTGTTGTATTCAAGGGATGCCTGAAGTGCATTTAGAACTGAAAACGTGCCTGCGCCGTAGTTACACCCCCCCCCCTTTTTCTTTTGTCTGTGTGTGTGCATGCCTCATCTTCTCTTGTTTCTGAATGAAAGACATTGTTTAAGGTTTGTTCTATTCATGTGGTCTACCGTCTTCCCCCGAACGTAACGCACCCTAAAAATGAATGTATACAAGCTATATTTCCGACCAAATACAGCCAAAACAAGGGTGCGTTGTGTTTGGGGGAAGACGGTAGTGGCATCAATTAGGGTTTCCAATTGTTGCAGGACCACTTGGGATCTTTGCCTGTTCTGTATTTTTGCACTTTTTAAATTTTCATCACAAATTGTTAGTAGCAATCATGTTGCGCGATTGTGGGAAGTAAGAGATTGCAGTCTACCCGTGAAGGATGTCATGATTCCCGTGAATAGCATTGTATGTGTATGAAGTACTATGAACCCAAATTGCTATCATTCTCGAAATCCCCTCTGTTCTGTAATTCACCCCCTTCCCTTCATTCCTATTTAACAGCTGCCCGTTTCTCATCTGTTTGTCTGCCCCATCATGTTACGCGATTGTGGGAAGTAAGAGATTGCACTCTACCCGTGAAGGATGTCATGGTCCCCATGAATAGCATTATCTGTGTATGAACCCAAATCGCTATCATTCTCGAAATCCCCTCTATTTTGTAATTCTCCCCCTACTCCTCATTCCTATTTAACAGCTGCCCATTTCTCATTTGTTACTCTGCCCCCCCCCCCCCCCCCCCCCCCACCCCAACTTAACTTCTCCCTCAACATCTTGGACTCCTTTGTACCCATCTTGTTTTTTTTTTAAGTGCACGTCATATCATATGCACTAATAAAAATAATATAAAAGGTCTTTAGTTTATGCAATGATCACATTAAATATTGTATTACATCAATTTACATGTGAAGTAAAAAGTGCACTTCATATAGTATGCATTAATAAAAATAAATTAAATAATATGAAAAGGTCTTAGTTTGTGCAATGATCGCATTAATCTCTCTCTCTCTCTCTCTCTCTCTCTCTCTCTCTCTCTCTCTCTCTCTCTNTATATATATATATATATATATATATATATATATATATATATATATATATATATATATATATATATATATATATATGATGACGAAACAGAAGTGTACCGAGATAGCCACTTCCTTCGATGCAAACATGACTGCAAATCTTGGTGAAATAAAATTTTCTAACGTATGTACGAAACGAAAACTGTGTCTTGTTTTGGATCCTTTTTCCGTTCACACTTAAAATTGATGACATGTACTTTCACGCTCCCCGGCCAAATGACGCATCACTATTAGTATTTTACTTTAGGTGGTATATTACTGCTCTTATCTTTTGCCGACAATTTTTCTAGTTGTAGATATGATTACATTCTCATATTGCCAACAGAATTGAGTACAAGTGTATTTCAAATTTTCAATATATTGTTTATACTTCCAAAATACAAAGTTAGGTCGAATTTGGAAACGTCAGGAAACCTCCTTCATATTAAGTTTATAAGTTTAAGTTTGCAGGACTTACACCAAGTTGATTTACATGAAAGTACTTCAATTAGTTTATTTTTATTTATTTCTAACTTTCTAGCAAAAACATGATTTAGTAGATTTACATCTTGGTCAAAAATTAAATGGAATTCAAGGGATTAGCAATTGCACCCAATGAAAGCGAAAACTTTACAAAGGTATGGGTGGCAGACACGTGATGATTAAACGAAAAGAAAAAGACAAAAAAAAGAGAAATATTTTGTTGTTGTCAAACACAAACAATTGGTTGGATTAACTTGTATGTAAGCAATCCACCCTCCCACGAGGAACGTGGTATGCCTTTCTAATCTTATCGGTAGAATAAACTTTTAAGGGAGTGATATGTTTACAGCACCTTTGGATTAAAAAGTATGTTATGTTTATGAAATCTATTAAAAGTGCATGCCTTCAAAACTATCGGTCTTGTAGATAATAAAACGCACAATTTGTTGGTCTTACAGATAATTCAGTTATCAGAAAGCAATATGACAATATGTGCGAGCAGCATTTGTGTCCTTTTTGTCGTAGTACTCGACACTTTTTCAGCGCACACTTGTCGATCAAAAAATAAGCTTTTTAAACAAAAAATGTGGTCTTCAAGTGTCTGACAATTTTAGTATTTTACAAAAATAATGAGGTAGTGCAGTTCCTTGTTGAACGTATTGAAGTCATACTCTTCTTGATCTTGAAGATCATTTCAATAAATCATATTAAAATGTAATAAAAATCGTGACGATCTAAACAACCCCCTTGACCATGAAGAAATGATGAGGTGATAAAATCGCGGTACACTCCCGCGCAAAACAAAAGATACATTTTCATACGACAAGCACGATCTGTACACCTCTCTAGATACACGGGTTTGCAGCCATCACAACATGCACTTCAATATCGAACATTCTGAGAATTAACACGTGCGTTTTCAAGGACTAGTCCGAATGCGGACCATGGGTTCAGTACATTCATTGATTGCTTAGTTTGCATCTGGACATGGAGGAGATTCACATGGATCACAACAAGGAGTTCCGGAATAAGGAGATCCTCAGGCGGGGTCTCATGCAGCCCCAATGCAAATTTTTTGAAATATTATCAAATTATGGTAAAAAGTTACTAAAAACTAGTTAGACATCCCTCTTTAGATCCCATCTATACCCCACTTAACCCCATTTATACCCCACTTCTTCCCCACTAACGGACAAAACTGAAAAATTGAAGGGACTGGATTTGGGGGTTTGCTTTCAGTTGGCACAGAAAAGCCCCACCGAGTCACCGACCAGGGAACAACAAAACGAAACAAAAACCAAGAAATTCTGAGTTTTCTCATACCCAAGATACCTCGGGTTAAAAAAAAGGATACATTGGGCGGGCGGATGGGCAGGCAACCTGCATGGTGCCCGAGGCTGCATGCCCAGCCATCCAGCCTCGGCAGCCTAGCCAAGAACAACAACAAAAAGTCCGCGAAGCACCAACCTAAANATCTATTGGTGGGGAGCGGCACCTGCTGGAAACCGGGTCCAGCGTCCCATTAATACATCATATGGCACTGAGACTGATGCTTAATGTTTCCCGGGGCTGGGGATATTAATCACTCAACCTGGGGCTCCGTCATCCCATGGAACTGCTAGCATCACCCTTCCCTTTAAGGGAGCACCCCTTATCTATCGACCCAGCCCTATTCGAGTAGTCCCCCTATACCCTGCAAACTTTTTACATCCTATTCCCCTTCACATTCGAGAGAGGCGGAGTGTTCGTATACCTGGGCCCTCTGTGGTTTTTACTTACTCATTCTGGGGCTCCAACACCCAATGAAGCTGCCGACCTCACCCTTCCCTCATCAGGAGCACCCCCTGTCCGTTAAGCCAGCCCTATTCCAGTGCACAGTCTTTACGTCCCATTCCTCTATTCATTTGACATTTTTTATATTCGACAGAGGCTGAGCGTGCGTATACCTAGGCCCACATCATACCCTCCGGAATCAACGTAGTTCACTGCTTCCCCAGACCGGAGCAGCAAAAGGTGGCATTCTTACAGAATACCCGCAGGTCCCCTTCCTCCTCCCCTTTCCYATGCACTTCCATCATCTTTGCCCAAGGGGCATACACTCCAGTACTCCAGCCGATCGCAAGAGGTCCATCAGTATACTTTGGCATCCAGTCTCCTGGCCGTATGTCGTGTTCTGCTCGTCGAGCCTTCCTGCATCCGTCTATTGCCACAGCAGCCTTTGCATGTCTTCCCTTGCTCATCAGCAACTGCAGCTCATCTTCAGGGCAGGCGGGAAGTGGTGGGGGAGGGGATGTGGTGCGAAGGGTAGGGACTGTCTCTTATACACATCTAGATGTGTATAAGAGACAGGGCTTAGAGCACCGGTTGGAAATGCGCATTGTGGTATGAATGAGGTTGCGGGTTCAAAACTCCCTTGCCTCACGCACGTACAGCGGTAAGTGCTTTCATAACGCACAAGCCATTCACACACCCCCCTGAACGCACAAGCCATTCACCCCCCCCCCTTAACGCCCAAGCCATTCACCCCCCCCCCTTGGGACGGCGCATGGTAACATTTATTTAGACACTGGCTGC